TCTTTTTTTTTTTTTTTAATAAACCAATATGAGTTATACTATATGGAAATGTTGCGGTACCGTCGTGGAATCGTTCTTTCGAAATTGTAATCGCTAAATCATCATTTAACTAGTTGATCTAACGATTACAAACTCCGATGAGTTGGTTCCGTAACGGGACCGTAGCATCTCCTTATACTGTATTCACATCTTGGTTAGTTGTTTCCTTATTCTAAGATAATTGTTTTCTTCTCAATTTATTTTTTACCATAATTTAATTATACTATATTCACAATAACAAAATAGTTCCGTAATGAGACCGTAACATCTCCCTATACTATATTCACAACTTGGTTAGTTGTTTCCTTGTTCTAAGATAATTGTTTTCTTCTCAATTTATTTTTCAATAAACCAGAATTTAATTATACGATATTCACAATGAAAACCACGGGCATGGCCAAAACTTTTTTTTTACCTCGGGACTAAAAAAATATACAGTTGTTATCTGAACCTAATTGTCCTCTAACATAGTTCGATTCGACATGTAAAGTTCAAACTTGACTTCCTTATATATTTATACGATATTCACAATGAAAGCCACGGGCATGGCCAAAACTTTTTTTTTACCCCGGGACTAAAAAAATATACAGTTATCTGAACCGAATTGTCCTCTAACATAGTTCGATTCGACATGTAAAGTTCAAACTTGACTTGCTTATATATTTAAACGAGTCAAATTCAAATAAATGATCCAACTTCTCTATCAAATAAGTCAAGTTGAACATGTTCGCAAATAATTTAGTTAAAGTTTATTCATGATTTATTTTCAGAATAATAAAGTATTTTAATGGCGGCATAACACCAAACGAAAATTGAGTAGTAGGCCAATACGGGTACCCCATACCAGCCCAATATGGGCCCATGGAAAGAGGCCCCAATATAGCGCATAGTTGATTTGTTGATTTGGAGGAATTGGAGATGGGCCCATCTGATGGGCAGCCTAGGAATTGGGAACAACAGTAACTAATGGGCAACTTTCAATTAATACATGGAGAGAGTTTTGGAATTTTAGTCCCGCTCACCTGCCCACGGTGGGCAGTGCCCACCACTTTTTTTTACATGAA